TGTTACTAGTAGCGATGCACTTGTTCCTAGTAGCTTATTGTTTCTATAATCCAGGAAGGCTTTAAGATGAAGATGACATGTTCGAGAAAGGACACTGCTTGCTGTCGGGTCACGGATGTACTCCCAGCTTTTGCTTGGCCCGTCGAACTCCGAGAGCTCACCAGAACTGGGCGCCATGCCTCGGGCGATTTGTGGAGAGATGCATGAAACACCAGAAACCAACAAATGCAAGCTCCTGGAGCGGAAGATGGTCGTTTGCAAACCACAGAATGCATCACCAAATGACCTGGCTGCCAGGTCACAAGCACTAACCGACTAATCCGACTAACCATCATAATCACCAATCAAAGAGCCTTTGGAACATCCTGTCAGACTCCTTTGAAGCCACCTATATCCGCAGGTATCGGTCACTGAGGGCATGTCCTATGTGTACGGAGCAGTTGGCAGGTCTGCCAAGTCAGATTTGACGCCTCTGCAGGAAACCTTGAGCCAATGCTCTTTGGATCTTCAAAGTCTGCCAGATTGGAACAACATGAAGAAGAACGCTTGCTTGGAAAAGAAACTTTGCAAACCAATTTTGAGGAAACACTCCCTAGTGGGTCTGAGGAAACAAGCGCCAGTGTGTGGGAGTTCCTGCTCCCAAATGATCCAAAACAGCAACCTCCAACCAACGATCTAATCATTCCTCTTGCATTTGCTTTCGAGATTCATGTTCTCACCTTTTGGGCACCCTCCAAGGGGAAGTCTTTCTTAAACTCTTCAGCAAACTTGGATGGTCTCTCTAGGTTGGAGGCCATTGCAATTAGGTTGGAGGCCATCGCTCTCAGAAAAACCTTGGAAAATTCTGTCTCAAGAGATCCCAACAGGCTCCTAGCTCCTGGCCTTACTACTAGGAGCAAGGACGCTACTAGTAGCTCCTGGCATCGCTACTAGTAACAAGAAACTACTACTATAGGGGCTCCTGGCCTTACTACTAGGAGCAAGGACGCTACTAGTTGCTCCTGGCATCGCTACTAGTAACAAGAAGGTACTAGGAGCTCCTGGCCTTACTACTAGGAGCAAGGACGCTACTAGTAGCTCCTGGCCTTACTACTAGGACCTAGGAGCAAGGACGCTACTAGGGGCTCTTGGGAGACCCCTTCCCATATCCAGAGCACACAAAACGCGGAAAGACTCTCTGAACAAAACCTCCGAGCGTCTCTTGCGGAAGGTCATGGGATCCATCGAATCCTTCGCACCGTTTTTCACGCACGGTGAACCGGTGTTCCGAAGTCTCTCTTAGCATGGGCCACATCATGGGCCCATGCCTTTTTGAAGTGCACGACTTTCTGAAGCACCGTAGCACAGAGAAATGCTAACATATGCTAACATTTGGCAAGTCCATAATCTTTGGCCGCTTCCCAATAGCAATGGCCTCCAACCTGATGCTAACACATGCTAACCCTCCAAAGGACCAAGGCATTTGGCAAGTCCAACATCTTGGCTTCGAACCAAAAAAACCCTTCACGACAGCTTCGCCCGGTCGACGTGACCCGAACGTCTTGCCAATTTGCCGGGCGGCGGAATGCCCGCCATCAAACCAACAGTTGGCACCGGCAGAGCCTAGAGGGCTGGAGGACGGGGCTGGAGGAGACACTCTGCGAGAAAACCAGGGATTTTGAGACTCAACAGGAGGTACCATTGCACAATTGTACAACTTCTCAGGCTGGCTTTGATGCCTGGATTGATCACAGAGCTCTTGGTAAACTAACCTGAGGAGCATCGGCTCCGGAATCCGACTGTCCAGCTGAAACACAGGATTTGCCCGGTAAATCTCATAAGGGTGCCGTATCTCAGAGCTCTTAGGTTGGAAGCAATCGCTCTTTAGGTTGGAGGCCGTCGCTCTTTAGGTTGGAGGCCATCACTCTTTAGGTTGGAGGCCATCGCTTTTTAGGTTGGAGGCCATCGCTCTTTAGGTTGGAGGCCATCGCTCTTT